GGTGAAATGTGACCTCCAGGTCAATCACTGCAAACACTAGATCGTATTAGGCGCGAACTTTCAAAAAAAAATTGTCCTCTTGTTGTCCTAGGCTTACAAGCTAAAAACGTCAACAAGCATGTGGAGCGACGAATTTGTTTTGTAATTATTTTGTGAGGGGATATTGGGCCTAGGCCTCTTCGCTCTTTTGGGCCTACTGTTGTCCTCCTTTGGTCGCTCGTTCATTGTGCCGATGAGCACAGCCGAAAACATTTGCCTTCTCGCCCCCACACAGTATCTTACTCCTAGTCATCATGACAGGAATGAGAAAGATACTATCCTATTCAGTTAGGAAACCAACGTGTTGTATAAACAAAATGGGGAAGTAATTTCAGTCATGAAAACCGATTTTCGGAAAATCCAAAAAGCAGTTGCAACACGAGCAGGCTGTCTGGTACTCATTAAAAAAGCGGTTTAAAAAAATAGATTATTTTGTGTTTATCAGTAGAAACACACCCTATGTTGTATGATACTACAATATCTAACAATGGTCATTGGTAGGCCCAACCGGGGCCAAGATATCAGACTGTGTCTTAATAATATTAAATACCTGTATAAGTGTCTTTTACTTTTAGTATGACTTGCAAGTTTAGTAAGGCCCTAAAAACTAGTCCTGTCGTATAGGATCCGTGATGATATCAATCGACGCTACCCTGGAAGGAGCTATAGGCTAGGGGTTACGTTCTAGACGTCACCTCCTCTACCTAGCCTGAAGCTAGGCAACAAGCAAGGCAAGGGTCAGACCCAGAGTGCACTACGCCAAAATAGGCCATTAAAATTGAGCCATCGCTATTTGTTGTATAAATATGGTGGCGGCCTTTGAATAAGGGTGTTACAAAAGGCTCACTTTCTTTACTACTGTACTCTAAGCCTAGGCCTAGGCCAAGATATAATCTTACCGGTTAACGACAAGGTTACCGGGATGTATCGGCTTTCCGTCAACCGGGCAGACAACCGCGCTGGCTCTTGCTCCATCCGTCTTTGCAGCAGTAGTAGAACACGCTTGGCAAAAGGTGTGTCCACAATCTGTGCTAATTACAGGATTGAAAAGAAGTTTACGACAAAATGGGCACTTCAATTGAGCTGACGGTTGCTCTACAAGAGGTCGAGTTTTACTATTAATTGAAGCCATCATAAGTATATCTTTCATAACAACGGACCCATTTACCACAATATTTTACTCACTCATCATTAATCCGGAAATACATGCTGTATGTATGCTGTTCATAAAATATCAACATCGGAAGGAACAGAGTAAGACACGCCGATTGGTAACGAAATAAAAATTATTTAAAACATTGATTAGTTCTTCATAACTCATATATTATATAATTTAATTACGTAAAAGCAATTTAAAAAATAGCCTTTTATCATCTGTTTTTAAATATCTTTAACTATTAATGGTTTGGTCATCCTAGGACTATTCAAGATATTTAAACATTTATAGTACATCATACACGGATCTGACGTCATATAAGGGGCTGTCCCTTCGTGCGCGCCGTGCCAATCGACGGCAGCGAAGAATTAGCTCGCCGAAAGCGAATAGTACACGGTTTTGTTTTTGTTGTCCTATTTCAATATGTCTGATGATCAATAAAAGAATTGAATATAATATAGGCAGCACTATAAACAACTATAGTACGTAGCAATAAAATTCATTTATGTAGGCCGCACCTATGCCTTGAGCAGGCTTCCTCCTATTGCTCGTTTTTAATTTGAGTCAAATAAAATCTGAATAATGTAGGCCTAATTGTGACCATAGAGGTATTATTATTATTGACAAAGACTGAGAAAATCAGGCCTTATGATTCTATTCCTTTTACATTCGAAATCATATTTTCCAATAAAGAACGCCGAACGTAAAATCATTTGGATATAATGAAGTCTTTTTTGGAGTGCGCAATAGGCCTTTATTATTTATTATTATAATATAGGCATACTATAATGTATCATATTAGTTTTCAAAATTGATTTTCAAAAATCTATATTAAAAGCACCACACACAAATCTTACTGAAAAATAATACCGGTATGTCTAGGCCTACAGTATACACAATCTACTGATTGGTAGTAGGCCTGTGGTTCGATACATTGGGTGGAAACTCTTGGTTTCGTACAACAACTAAAATAAAATCGAAATTAACAGACCTTACGGCTTTTTTTTTTTTTTTTTTTTTTTTTTCCTTCAAAATTACCGTATTTGTGTAAAAGCTATATTCATTCTCGTTGAACTATCGATAACACTTGATTCACGAAAATAACAATATGAGGCAGTGTCTAACTAAAGCAATTAATAAAGGAAACATAAAACCTCATTGCTATATTGAATCCATGTCAAAGCATAAAGTGTCAGAAACAGACGTACATTTACTGCTTTATGTATTTGTTCTTTCCAAATAGCCCAAAGTGTATCTTTCGTGTTCGCAGTTTGTTTAATGCTTTTTTTTTGGCCACCGTCTCGCATTTCTTACTTGCGGATTGTTGTTTATTTTATTTTTTTATTATCTTTTAAATTTTATTTATTTATTTATTAAAATTTTTAAAAAAATATATGGTTCATGGTCTGAATAGCCTACTATCAGCGCCTTGAGACGATTTAATAGAGGTAAATATTTAAATCGTCATAATACATTTAAGAGGATTAAGCACTCACCCCTTGTTGACAAATAAGTATATGACATCCTCTGGTAGAGTGTGGAAAGGATACTTCAGAATGTGCCAATAAAAAAAGTCTCTACATAATATTTTCTTTTTATTTCAATCTAATTTATAAAGCTCTGAGACCGCATAGGCTGCTATTGAAATAGTTGCGAAGACTGCGATTATCATTAGCAGCGGCGGATTCAAGGTGGGCCAGTCTGCCTTGGTCCGACCCCGACTAAATTCCCCCCCCCCCAAAAAAAAAAAAATTGGAGAAGAAAGGTAAGTTGTATTTTTTTTGTAAATTTGTATTCAAATTAGAGTCGGAGAGTGCCATTTACAGTTGCGTAGGTTCTGAGGGGCCCTGGTTCGAGAGGAGCTTGACGCATTTATTAACAATTACTACTCTTTTACTAAAGTAATCCATACGAATACCCCCTCCCTCCCACCACCCGCTAAACATCATTCAGGGCGCAAACCCATTTATGAAATAAAGTATTGTACAATTTATATAAAGTAATGATCCGCCGGGCATCATCCAGGATCTTAGTCTTCCGGGCAGGAATATTGATTAATAAAGTATTATTATATACTACCGTATGTACCGTATATCATATTCTCATGTATATGTGCTCCCATCGGACATTATTATTTCCAAGTGTAGGTTTGGGGAACAGAATACAGTAATTGTTACTTATTGAAGTAAAAGTACCAAATAAAACTGGTATCATCTCCGGCGGTAGTTTATTTCTATTTTCTGTGAGTAAAGTAGCCCTCTAAAAACACTGCTCTAAACTACAGTAACACTTAATAAAAATGACAGTCTTGTACGATTTTATCTTGTCGAATTGATTCGGCTTGAGACATTAACAACTTGATTTTCTCGCTTTGGAAATGCACTATGAATTGAATTGTATTAAGTTTTAAATACCATTATTATGTATCATGTGATGTGTCTGCTTTTGGTAGGTCTTTACCGATTACTTTATAAGTTTTAATTAGTCAATTATTCGTAGATATCCCGACAGATCGACAAGGTGAAAGTTGAGCTAATAGATCACTAAAATCAGAGGTTTAGCTTTTTTGATAGGGTGGACGGGGGTTGACTTAAGATTCCATAGCCACCTCAGCCTCATCTTTGTTGGGGCATAGAGAACAAAATAGAACACGAGTTGGGGCGAGGTGCTAAATTTTTATTTATTTTTAAAAAATTATTATTTAGAGCACTTTTTAAATGTCTGGAAAGGGCGTCCTCAGACAAAAAAAGTGTCTTAGTTTGAAAATTTAAAAAACCCAAACTTCAGCCATGTTGTTATGCCGACATCAAGTAAACTGCAATAGGTCTAATAAAAAAAATACTTGACACTAATAATATTAGTGTCAGGTATTTTTTTCAATATACAATATTATTGTCGTTCGTGCAATCTAATTCAATCATACACAATAAAATCATGAATTTTTGGAATGAAAGTATGAAATTTCACAAAAAGAGCTTGAGTTTGGGCATGAAAGCATAAGTCTCATGACAGATAAGTATACTATGTCTAATGTAGGCTAAAGTGAAATGAGTACCGTACAAGCTGAAGTTAATGAGCCAAAGAGCCCCTGGTCAGGGTACAGAGTTAGACGCCCCCAGCACAGGGACGGATCCAGAGATGTCCAACCAGGGGGTGGGGCGAAAGGAGCCAACCGAGACAACCCTATACTACGCAAGGGTGTCCGGGGGAATTCCCCCACGAAATTGTTGTTTTCTAGAATCCCAAAAATAACATCAAGGCTTTTTGGGCGATCACTTCTTTCTTTCTTTCTTTCTGTCTTTCTTTTGCATCCGCCCCTGCCCCAGTAAACATCAGCAGTAAAGTCTTTACATTAGTTCCTAAATTAGAGGGGAAAAAAAGGTTGTTTATTGGTTAGGATTTATAATGTATGCATGCGTAGATGACGATCTGTTTCACTGTGGATTTTCATCCATCTTGATGATGTCGACGTTCGAGTGACAATTTATACGACTAGTGGATTGGGCATGTATAATTGTTAAGTTATTAACAATTTTAAATTATAAAGTTCAGTAAAGGATAAAGATAAATATTATCAATCAAGAATTTTCTATGCAATGCTTTTTTAGACTTTTTTTTTTTTATAAGGGTGGGCCCCTAAAGCTAGGGGACCCTTGATTGGGGGCATAATAAACCGCCTAAACATGTGATAGTTACGCCACTGTGTTAGGCATGTATAAGTGGTTTTTTACCAATTCTAAATTATAATGTGCAGTAGTTTTAACTAAAAGGCTACAGTGTAGGGAAACAATTTGGCAGATTGTGTTCACGTCACCCACTCATGACGTCAAACAAAATAGTAATGCTTATTACATGAAGAATAATAATATGTCTGGTTAATTAATCTACCAATTCATTGTTTTCCCTTTAAAATAAGACACCGACACCCACATTTTCTTTTTAAATTCATTATTCGTTACATACATTTTATCTGTCTCTTATACACATCTAGATGTGTATAAGAGACAGTCTCTCATTAGAACATTAAGCAATTCTCTAATTCTCTAGAATTTTCACCTAAAATCCATTTAACAGTCAGTGGCAGATCCAGGGTGGCGAAGGGACGCTCGCCCAGGCAGCAGCAGGGAATCTCCCAAAATCGTGCCAAAATCATTTAGATAACAGATTAAGATGTTAAAACTGCGAAGCTCCTCAACAGGGCTATGCACCTTGATCTCAGAAATAGGCATTGTACAATAATTATTATTACATTATTTTAACTATTATTAAAAGGCTAACTAAAAGGCTACAGTGTGGGGAAACAATTTGGCAGATTGTGTTCACGTCACCCACTCATGACGTCAAACAAAATAGTAATGCTTATTACATGAAGAATAATAATATGTCTGTAGTGATTAAGTAGTATTGTTCGTGTAATAAAGCGGTGATCAAACACATGTATCTATTTCATTACTCTGGTATTAATTAAGTGACAGGCAAACAGCATTAACACTGAACACTAATCATGTACTTTCGTAATACAGATGCAGATTGCGTAGCGAAATTCTATATAACCCTTGCTTTCATTGGTCAAACACATTATGACACAACGCACGTCTTTTGTCAAGGAGTTTGGCCGGTCATAGTAAAAGAAATCGATCGAATTTTCATTCCTTCCTTATTGGTCAATTATTCATAGTCAATAAACGCCACTCGAGAACATTTAATTTGCAATTTGCCATCAATCATCTTGAGCAAAAAGATAGAAACTTTCTATTTTTTATACGTGTACGCCTACGTTTGAAGATCGATGTAAATTAATTATAATTTTTTTTAAGAAACTTGTACTTTCACAAAGATTGATGATATTAATTTTCATTATACATTTTTTAAAAAGAAACTTGTACTTTCGCAAAGTAGGCTATAGTGTGGAAAAACAATATGACAGATTGTGTTTATCACCCACTTCTGACATCACCAACAAGTGATTATCGCTACCATATAACCATGGAGGAAATAATTTAGTATAACACAGATGTGTATAAGAGACAGGTCTTTATCGATTACTTTATAAGTTTCAATTAGTCAATTATTCG